ATTACATACATACATACATACATACATACATACATACATACATACATACATACATACATACATACATACATACATACATACATACATACATACATACATACATACATACATACATACATACATACATACATACATACATACATGCGTATATGCATACATGCATACATGCATACATGCATACATGCATACATGCATACATGCATACATGCATACATGCATACATACATACATACATACATACATACATACATACACACATACACACATACACACATTCAGACATATAAACATACATGCATGCATGCATGCATGCATACATACATGCATACATACATACATACATGCATTCATACATACATACATACATACATACACACATACATACATATACATATATATATATATATGCATACATACATACATACATACGTACGTACATATATACATACATACATACATACAGACAGACAGACAGACAGGCAGACAGACATACAGAAATGCAGACATACATACATACATACAGACATACAGACATACAGACATGCAGACATACAGACATGCAGACATACAGACATACAGACATACAGACATACAGACATACAGACATACAGACATACAGACATACATATACATACATACATTTGTATTGAAAGAGAGAGAAAGAGAGAACAACAGCAACAACAACAACAACAACAACAACAACAACGACAACGACAACAACAACAACAACAAAAGAACGAAAACGATTTCGTCGCGCGAGATAACTCCAACCGGGATCGGTGTGGGTGTGCAGTCGGCGCCCTCCGAGACGCCCCTCCCTCCTCCCCACACCCCCTTTATCGCCGCGAGGAAAATCACGACGGGAAAGTCTCGGTAATGTTCCGCCGTGCCGGGCCCCGGGACCGTCAAGGAACGGCTCAGGATGCAAATGACTGTCCCAGGCAAACGTTCCAGGTCTCACAGGGGTTCACGTTGTGATCAACGGTCCCGGGGGCACGGTCTGGACGTCGGAGAGATAGGTGCTCCTACTTCTGCAAGAGAGAACTCCGTGACCGCACGAGCCACACGCCTCTGGCAGGCGTCACCTTGGCGGCACTCTGTCAGCGCCCAAACGGCAGGCTGGGATGCCGCCTCGTGCTGGTTGGCTGGGCCTGGCGGGTGGCCGCCAGCCCTCGCAGCCTCGCTGTACAGTGACAAACGCTGCCAAGGCGGGAGAGCAATCAGACAATATCAACCACTCCTTCTGGTCCTCCTCCTCCTTCTATTCCTCCTCCTCCTCCTCCTCAATCCCTCTCTTTGTAAATAGCTTCTCCTCGTCGCACCGCCAGACGTGTCGGCAGTGCGGTCCAGGCGTTTCGAAGCGCAAGTCCCAACAGCTACACAGATGGAGGGCGGGTGGTCTAAAAGGGTGGAGCACAGGTCATGTTCCAAAAGGTACCCACCGCCTTAGCGCCGCAAACAATCGTCTTGAAAGCAAGCAACGACCAAGGACGGAGGGCGGAGCCGCGCCTTGTTCAGCTTCGTCTCGGCGTAGACCAGGTTTGTGCGCGCGAAGGCAAACGCGGCCAGCAGCTGGTCGGGCCGCGAACACCTGACAGAGGAGCGGCAGGATCTCAGGCTCGTGCTGCCCTGACGACATGAACGAGAGACGAAGGAACGAGATGAAGATGTGCAAGATTATGAGGATGAGGATGGCGAGGACGGGGGCGGGGACCAGGACTAGGACGAGGCGCATGGAGATGAGAATGAAGAATTCGAGGACGAACACGAGGTCGAGGAAGATGAATTGAAACCTGAAAAAAAAGAATGAGGATGAGGATGAGAATGGAGACGAGGACAAGGACGATAACAAGGAAGAGGACGAAGAGGAGCTGGAATAGAGGAGCAGGAGCAGGAGGTGCAGCGGGAGCACGAGCACAGGCAGGAGGACAAGGGTACGTAAGCAGCAGCAGGTGGACCGCAAATAGTGAACGTGAGTAGTACATCATGACCGCATCACATGTTACTACCGTGCGCAACTCGCAGACAAACAAAAGGAAACACACGCGATGGACGTCTCCCGGCAGGGGCCCTCTTGTGTCCATGCCAAAAATAGGCGCATGCATGTCCGTGCAACACTGTCCTCCACCTCCTCCTCCTCCTCCTCCTCCTCCTCCTCCTCCTCCTCCTCCTCCTCCTCCTCCTCCTCCTCCTCCTCCTCCTCCTCCTCGTTAGGACAGCTGAGAAGCCCCTTGAAATCCCCAAGAACACCCTGGCCTCCCCTGGAAACAGGTGGTAACGTTCCTCCTTCCTGATGTTCCTCCTTCTCCTCCTAACTCCTACTCCTATATCCTCCTCGTCCTCGTCTCTCCTCCTTCTCCTCCTCCTCCTCATCCTCCTCCTCTTCCCTCCCTCCCTCATCCTCCTTCTTTTCTGTTTCCTCCGCTTCCAACAGCAAAGGAACGTGGCACCGCAGCCACGTCAGCCCTTGCACGCCGCCACCCTCAACGACGTTGAGGCTCCAGCCCTTGCCATCCAGGTAGTCTGGATGGAGAAGGTCGTCCACCGAGGAGCAGGAATCGGGAGGGGATCCTCCGCACGGCCTCCTCATCACATAAGTTGGCTCACCATCGTCGTCATTAGGCCCGCAACAAAAGCTGCGTCAACATGAACACCATCAATACTGTCGCCATCAAAACCACTCATCGCCCTCGTCATCTCTTGCCAACAAGAAGGAGAGGACTAGACGCGATGGAAATGGTAATGGAAAGATAGAGTGATGGCTCAAGCTAGGTGCGGTCTCGCCACATCTGGAATGCTACCACTCCCTCCCAGCCCTCCCGTTGCGCTGGTGATTTCTCTATCTGCAGACGCGTGCCCAAGCCGACTTGAAACTCTAAACTAAGCCATGCGCAATCTGAGCAGGGGAGCTGCGCACAGAGGGGAAGGAGGCGGCGGGTGAGCAGGACGATGCGAAGGACGAAAAGAAGGAGGACGAGGACGATCAGCAGAAGCGGGAACTGCCAGCAGGAAGGGGGGGGCACAACGATCAGGAAGGGCGCGCATCCAGAAAAGCGGCCTACACTGGGCCAATGGCGCCATTCTGAACGACAGAAGCAAAACGCCGATCCGAAAACGAAGCCCACGCTGCAGCGGGAGCATGGTTCTGAAACGCCAAAAAACAATCGGATTGGAGAGAACAACAATAAGACCACGTGTGTCCACTTCAGTGTGAAAAACAACATGCAGAGGGCGGAGCATCCTCCGGACAGAATCAGGGGAGAGAGAAGGGTGGTATTCATAGTGCGCAAGCTTCGAAGACGGAAGCGGAAGAGAGAAAATGAGAGAAAGAGGAAGACTGACACATTCATGTATGCATATCTATACACGCAGACATACATACATACTTACATACATACAGACATACAGACATGCATTAATACATACATACATACGTACGTACGTACGTACATCCAGACGTACATACATATATACATAAAGATGGAGACATATACACACGGGTACTCGCAGACATGCATACATGCACAAGTCATAATAGTACCACGTATGTATGCGTGCGTACATCCACTACTAACACGTATGCATGTGTGCTTATACTCATGCCAGAAAGGTAAGTATTAGCAAGCGCAGACCCCTAACCCTAGTTTTAGCAATCTATGTTGTGCAATCGATGTGGAACCACATATGTGGTACAATCTACGTCGTGCAACTCATCCTGCCGAACTTGATGTTGCTAGCGCCACTGCTCGCGCAACCATCCCGCCCACCCACCCTCAACTTGGTTTGCAAAACCCATGCGGCGGCGATTGCGATGACTGCTCGGCGCTGGCTGGCGCATCGCCGCGGCCGCGCTAGCGCGCGTGCTCGCGCGCGCAGCTGCCAGCTAGTGCGGCGCGACCGACGCGACCGCTGGGCACTTCCCAGCGGGCACTTCAGCACGAGTCGGCGACTTGGGCGGGCGCGGTATCATGGCAACTTCGACAACGGAGGACGCGATGATGATAGTAGCGATGCTGGCGACGATGATGACAACGACGACGGCGCGGACAGTGACGGCGCCGATGCTGATCACGCCGACGACGATGACGGCGTCCTCGCGTCGGCGATGAAGGTTTTGGAAGGAATTCAACATGCACGCGCGGCCATCGCGCGCGGGTGGCCCGCATAGTATCAGTTGACACGGATCGCGCCCCCCGCCCCCCCGGCACGCGCGCGAAGGCGTTCGAATGATTTCGACATGCGGCGCGAGAGGCCTGTTTGGCAGAATTTAATGAAGATGGATGTTGACAAACTCCGGGTACCTTCATGGCTTCGCACGTCCGCGAGCGCCGTTTTTTTTGAAACCCGACGTTGCAAAACCATGTGTGTTCTATCTTTTCGGGGCCCTCGATTTTTAAACCCTTAAGACACCTTTCGATGTCGATGGATTTCGGCATGCGCGCGCGTGCATTCCGCCCCGTCTGGCGCAAGGGAGTCTTGCGACAGCACGCGCGCAAGGGCCTTCTTGCGATTCCGACATGCGCGCGCGAGGGGACCGTTTGGTAGGATGCTGCGAAAAAAAAGGTTGTAGAACTACGGTTTCTTTCAGAATTCGCAAGAGCGCAGGCGCATGTTTTTTTTTTTAAACAATGACAATTCCTGATGCGAAACTATGCGTGGTTCTGTGTTTCGGCACACTCGCTTTTGAAATCCCTGCGAAGGCTGGGTCTCTCAAAAAAAAGATGTCGGCATGCGCGCGCGACGACGCGCCCGCGTGCTCTTCGCCCCTTCTTGTTGCAAAAGGTTCTTGACCACTGATGATTTTTGATAAACGGGCGCGCGCGCACAGTTTGTTTTCTCCGAGGGCGAAAGGGGAGGATTACCCGTCTGCCTGGGGTGACACGAATTCATCGTTAGAGGGGAGGGGTAAGAGGACGCACGCGGTGCACCCTTTTTGTGGTGCGTGATCCGTGATGCACCATATGGTGTGCAAGTTTTGTTGCGCGATCTGTGCTGTGCAATGCATGCGGCGCAACCTGTGTTGTGCAATCTATGGTGTGCTAGATACGTTGTGCGATGTATGCGGCGCAGCCTATGTAACACCACAATGTCGGTGCAATTGATGTTCTGCAGTATACGTGTATATATAGATAGATATGTATGTATATGTATATATAAGTACATACATACATACATACATACATACATACATACATACATACATACATTACATACATACATACATGCATGCATGCATACATACATACATACATACATACATACATAGAGTCAGACATACAGACAAACATGTATAGCTGCATGTATACATAGATAGATATATATATATATATATATATAGACAGATAGATAGATTGATTGATTAATAGATATATAGAAAGATAGATGTAAGCAGGTATGTAGTACACATGCATTTGTATGTATGGCGGGATCTACATGGTGCCGTCGATGTTGTGCAGTTGAACGTGGTGCCGTCGATGTTGCGCATTTGATATGAACTCCCTCGCGCGCGACCACCTCCCATGCTCGCGCAAACACCCCGCCCACCCACCCACCCGCAAGTTGGTTTGCAAAACCCACGCGGCTGCGATTGCTATAATTACTCAGCGCTGGCTGGCGCATCGCTGCGGACGCGATAGCGCGTGCAGGCTCGCGCGCAGAGCGGTCAGCAAATATGGCGCGAACGACGCGGCCTCGGCGGCGCTGACCTCTGGAAATTTCCCAGCACGTCTCGCGGGCACTTCGGCGCGAGTCGGTGACTCGGGCGGACGCGGTATCACTGCGACGTCGACGACGGCGCGCACGATGTAGCGATGCTGGCGACAACACTGACGACGACGAGGGCAAGGCCACTGAAGGCACCGATGCTGATCACGCCGGTGGCGATGATGGTGTCCACGCGTCGGTGATGAAGGTGTTGGAATTCGACATGCGCGCACACGACTGGCGCGAGTGGCCCGCACGGTGTTATTCGACGGCGATCGCGCCCCCCACCCCCAGCAAACGCGCAAAGGCGGCCGAATGATTTCGACATGGGTGACGGGCAGGAACGCTTGTTCGCATGGAAATGTTGAAACCAAGATGGTTTTCGAAAGAACTCGAACTCGCAGAAGCGCGGTCGCAGACTTTTCCGACAAATCACGTTGCTCGGGAGACTCGAATTTGAAACAAGCGCGAAATCTGATAAATGGCTAAGAAATTGTTCCGCGTGTACGCGCGACGCCACGCGCGTGGACTTTGCCCGTATATAGAATGGGACATCGGGACACGAAGCAGTTTGGATCAGCGAGTTTGCGCGCGTAGAAATATGTACCACGGACAAGGAGGGTGAACCCGACTTGGCTGGGATGGCATGGCCTCATATGGAAAACGAACGATGGGGCAAAATCTGTTGTAAACCCCACAATCCCAAGGGGAGCCGAAAATCCCGAAGTGGGTAGATCCGAACTGCCTCTCAGGAAGGAGGACCTACGCGGTGCGACCTAAGTTGTACCATCAATGCGTTGCGATCTACGGTGCGAAATCTACGCGGTACAATCTATATGGTGGAATTGACTACCCTGCACCGCGCTTGACCACCTCCACTGCTCGCGCAAACATCCCAACCTCCCACCCGCAACTTGTTTGGCAAAACTCACGATGCGGTGGACGACGGCGCCACTGATGACGACGACGACGACGAAGACGACGACGACGTCGCCAACGAAGACGACGACGAGGGAGAAGGGAGGACGACGACGGCGACAACGACGACAACAACGACAACGACGATGGAGGAGGGAGGACGGCGACGACGCGAGCGACGAAGAAGGAGGAAGGACGAAGACGCCGACGACGACAACGACGAGGGACGAAGGAAAACGACGACGACGACGACAACGACGACGACGACGGCGACGAAATAGGAGGGACGACGAGACGCCGACGACGGACGACGACGACGACGAGAGAGGAGGAGGAAGGACGACCACGGCGACAACGACGACGGAAACGACCACGACGCCAAAGAGGACGACGACGACGACGACGAACACGAGGAAAGACAGAGGACGACGTAGGCGACGACGACGACGACGACGACGACGACGACGCGGGAGGAGGGAGGATGGCGACGACGACGACGACGACGACGCAACGCAAGAGCGCGCGCGCACGCTTTTGTTGAAAATCCGTGTTGCGAAACCTTGTGTTTTTGTAGGTTTTTTGGACACACGATTTGAAATCCTTCCGAAACCGATGGGTTTGAAGGATTTCGGCATACGCGCGCGACGACGCGCGCGTCTGCACTTCGTCCCGTTTTTTTGCAGAGGATTCTCGCGACGGCACACGCGCAAGGGCGTTCGACAGATTTCGACATGCGCGCGCGCGAAGCCCGTTTGGTAGCATTTTGTGAAAATCTTGAAAAACCTAGGGTGTTCTTAAGATTTCGCAAGAGCTCGCGCGGAAGCTTTTTTAGCAAATCAGGGTTGCGAAACCCTGTGTGTTTGTACGTTTGGGGGGAAACTCGATTGCGAAATCCTTCCGACACCGAAGGTGTTTGAAGGATTTCGGCATGCGCGCCCGACGACGCGCGCGTGTGCACTTCGTCC